AAGAACTGAAAAGCACTGAGCTGAAATGTCTCTCCTAGTTCAGCTCCTCATAGGTCTTACCGAATACATCTGATAGAGTCGTTTTTTTACTTTTAAAACATCACACATAGACAGGGTTAAAAAAGCATCCAATTTCTATCAAATGGAAAGTACTGGCTCTCCTTTTTCTCCCTCTCATCCCGAGAAGGTGGCTTCCCTTCCATCTTTGCCGTCCTGCTGCGATGCTCATGAGCCCAGCCCCCTCCCTCATCTCTCCCCCTTTCCAAACCAGTTTTCTCATTTATTCTTACGTAAGATATTTTGGTTCATTCCTTCACCGTAGACCCTGTCTCCTGACATCCCCTTAAGTGAGATCGTGTCTCCTCTTTGTTCAATCACCTGCCCCTGCCCCCGTGACTTTCTGTCCAGTCAGAGAAAATTCCAGTCTTTACAGCAGCCTCAGGCCCTGGTCCCGGACCCACATCCTCCGAGTCCTGCCCCCATTCCCTGCTGCCTTATCAGCCACCCTGAGCTCCTCGGCCACACTACCCCAGGTATCCACGTGGCCCACGAGACCCTCCGACCACCCCACCTGGGACTGCGCCCTTGTCACTCTCGCCTTCATCTTGTCTCCTTAGTTTTTATCACATGCCTTTGTTATTCTTCCCCACTACTGAGTACATGCCAGAAAAGCACGTGTTGATTTACCCTTTTATTTACTCTTGTATCCTCAGTACCTAGAGCAGTGCCTAATCAGAGCAGACGCTAAAGTGTTTGCTGACCTATACAGGCCCCGCAGCCCTTCAGATATTCGCAGCAGGTGACCAGGAGTCCCTTGAGTCTTCTCATCTGCAGGCCACTAAGCCCTGGGTCCTGGACCAGGTTTTGGTAACTTGGAAAGAGAGCGCACGTGGTGCAGATAGCATGGGCTCTGCAATCTGGACTTTGTTGAATTCATTTTAAGTCATGTGACCTTGGGCAAATTTCTTGACCTCACTTACCTCCCCGCTCCCATCCTCAGTTTTCTTCTCTGTAGAAAAAAAAGGGGGCGGGGCGGGGGGGGTTCTGATGCCAGGAAGGATGGCCGTGAGGATTAGTGAGACCGTATCTGAGACGGTGTCCTGCACGGCCGTGACCTCTCTCCTTCTGGGTTCCAAGCTCCTTTCCCAGCCTGGCGTGAGTGTCTATCCATTGTCCCCTGAAAAATACATCTGGTCTTTGGGTGTCATTTAACCTGAAGGGCTGGAGGCAGCCGGAAAAGAGCAGGGGGATCATCCTCTCCCTTGGGAGGAAGGAAGAGTGAGGGAATTCGGGGGAAAGAATGGAGGGGAGCGGAGTGCAGGGGAGTCTCATGGGGTCTCTTTCTTCTCCACAGTGTTTTCTGCTGCAGAACCCGAGACCATGGCCAAACCAGCACAGGTAAGGAGCCTCTCCCCTCCTGGAGGCTGTGCTTCACCTTCCCAGGGCCTGGGATCCTCCGCGCATCACCAGGCCTGCCGCACGAATCCCTGGCACCTTCAGCTGTGCAAATCCCTGGCACTTTCAGATGCAAGTGACCCATGGCATCACACAAGCAGAAAAGATGCGTATTGGCATACAGGACTGAGACATCCAGGGCTTCAGGTCTGGCTGGATGCAGGTGCCCAAATGCTAGTGTCAGGGTTCTGCTTCTGTACTGGACTTCCTCTGGATGGCTTCGTTCTTGGGCAGGTTCTTCCCTGATTTGTCATGCTGGCCACCAGCAGATCTAGGCTTTCATTCTACTTCCTGGGCAGCCTGGAGGAAATAACAGAATTTATTCCCTGTGATCCCAGGGAAAGTCCAAGGTTTGGTTCTCATTGGCTGGTCCTGGGTAGCTTGGATCCAGGCGATGGAGTCAGTCCCACCCAAACTGTAGGGCCCAAGAGTGGTTCCTGTAGGAATGGAGGTGGCTACAGGATAGGCCAAAGCATTAGGGGGTCCTCTCTGCTCTGGAGTTGGAAGTGTTTCCTGTCACATGCATTTGGGATTAAGTTCCCCTGTCTTGGGATACCTCATTCTTGCATGCTGTGTGACCACTTTGCTGGGCAGTAGAATTTGAGGTGTATCAGAGCTCTTACTCCTGTGTATGGCCAGGACTAGGTTCTGCCCTTGGTCAGAGATAGGTATCATTCTGTGCCAGGGTTTGCCTGAGAGAGATCCCTGTTGGTTGGCCTTAGAGAAAAAGACAAGGTCACTGCAATGATGGGATCGACAGGGAGAATAAAACTACTGGGGGATGCCTGACTTGGCCCCTCACTTCAGTCACAGAGCTGGCCACGGACATGGTATAGGAGGTGTGTGATCATCGGTGAGTTCTTTACTCTCTCTGGGCCTCAGTTCCCGTTATGAGGTGGTTGAGCTCAGTGAAAACCAAACTTTGTCCCTGTTCATGACTTGCCATTCAATGAACAAGGGTCTTAAGGATATCAATTTACAGTTTTCGAAGAGCACAGTGTGTCGTGTGATATAGGATTAGTACACTCAAAAGAGTCTTAGCTATGGCCTTCCTGTCGGCCTCTGACCAAGAGGAGAGAGTGTTAGTGGTTATGGGCAAAGATCCAAGACAGACATTTGCTTCCCCCATTTCCCATATGTAGTCATCCCTGAGCTACTTCCTGAGAGGCATTCGAATTGCAGGGTTCTAGGTGACCGAAGTGGACAGATCAAGCCCTGGGAGGTCACAGGGCCCAGGACCTAGGGCGCAGATCTTTGTTTGGACTCTTAGTCCAGTGCTCCCAGACCGTGCTGTCTGCCTGGCTGACCCATCGTTTCTTGTTCCGTGGGCCAAGGGCCAGAAGGTATCCTGCAGGCGGGAGTCCCAGAGCCTTAGTGGTCCCTGAGCCTTGGGGTGAGTTGGGATGCCCCATGCATGGTGCCAAGGCTCTGGCAGGTGGAGAGAACTGGAAAGCTGCCCAGAGAAGCTACTCAAGAAGGGCAAGGGGCTGAGATGGTCTAGGTGGAGGGGAGGCTGGAACAGAAGGCCAGAGCGGGCGGGGCGGGGGGGATCAGTGTGTGTTGGGGCAGGAACGGTGATTTGGCATGCTTGGAGTACAGGGCCTCAGGGAGGGGAGGAGGTCGCAGAAGACAGTACTAGAGCTGTGAGAAGGGTCTTCCTTCTGTCGAGCTGAAGTTTGTGTCTACGGCTCCCAATTCTTCGCACCCCAGTTCTGCTTCTAGTGTGCCCCCTTCCCAAAACATACCACACACCACACGCACACACATACACACATGCACAGAACAAGCCACTCACTCTTTTCTCTGGTCCAGATCACCCCCATTTACTTCTACTATGATAAGTGTGCTGTTCCTCCTTCCTTTCCTTTCAGAAAAAGGGAACTTGAGACTCAAAGACGTGAAGAAATAGTGTGGTGTCATAGAAAGGTCCTGGAGGCATGTCTGCATGGCCTCCGTGCCCCAGGGATATCGGGGTTTGAACATGATTTTGGGGATGAGGACACTTTGAGGACAGGGCAAGCGGGGAAGGTGCTGGTGCCTGGAACTCCAGGAGCTGCAGAGACGAGCCCTGGGTCAGGTGTGAGCAAGGCAGCTCTCAGGTGGAGTTCCGGTCAGCAGCATTCTCTCTGGGTGACAATATCACTTTTGTCCCGAAAGGCCTTGGGACTCCTACTCCAGCAACAGCCTGGATGGGGCCCAAGACCATAGAGCCCCAGGGTCCAGGCTGCTCACCAGCTGGCATCAGGACCTGTTGAATATTTCAGGGTGGAAAGTCCCTTCACCTCTGCTCTCCCCTCGCCTTGATCATGGTTACCTGAGGCCAAGAACGGTCTGCCAGAGAAGTGGGGACAGCTGCACAGGCGGTACCAATGGTGGAACACCTGGGCCTAGGTGATTTGAAGGACCGTTTCTGTGTCTCTAATGTGACCAGTAGTAAAGCCCCTGTGTCTGCTGCTTCTGGTGGCTGTGATCCTGCCAGTCCTGGGATGACTAATCTGGCAGGCAGCTCCCTAGAAGATTTTATTATCCTTGTGGAAAGACCCACGGGGGTGACTGGCCTGCTGCTCCCTGAGTCTGACTCTAAGGGAACGTCGATCAAGCCTTGTGTCTGTCGTTAGACTTCCCTTCCCTTCCCCCAGGATGGCATGGCCTCACCTTTCAGCTGCAGCCGCTTCCCCAGACACGGCCTCAGCCATCGCAGTGTGTGAGGAGGGAGGAGCAGGGAGGAGGGGGAGCAGCAGCAGGAGTGGGTCCTCGGCTTGCTGCTGCTGCTGCTGCTGCCGCTGAGACCTCCGCCCTTCATCCTGGGGACCTGCTTCCATCTCCTCTCTCCCCATTCCCTCCTGGCAATTTACACTCCCATGATTTTGGCAACTCTAGATGTCTGCACTGAGCGCTGAAGCATCTGGCCTTGCTTCTCTGAACGTTGCTTGCCTGCTCTTGCCTCCAGGCCTTCGCCATGCTGCTTGCTCTGTATGAAACCCTTTCCCTCCCCCTAACCCCTCTTTGGGGCCAGCTGTTACTCATCCTTTAGGGGGAAGTTTTTCCTCTTTGATCTGCTCAGATTATATTCAGTCACCATCCATTCACCTACCCATTCATCTAGGACATAAATATTTAGTGAGTGCCTAGTTGTGCCAAGCCCTGTGCTGCGTGCTACAAATACACCAGTGAGCAGGACAGATACTCAGAGAGCTTTCGAAAAGGAGTATCTCTTCTCTGGTCTGGGAATTTGGCATGTGTTACTCTTTCCTTCTCTGCCCAGGGCTGTGATCAGGTTGCAGGGCATTCACTGGTAGCAGGAAAAGGACTATGTCCCTTTCTGGTCCTCCGCCCTGTCAGAACTTTAAATAGCAACTCTGCGCCCACGCATGCATACCTCAGAGGAGTCAGCAGCTGCAGACATAAACCAAAGAGCATCCAAGTGCCTGGCCAGGTCTCGCAGTGCAGGCACCGGGAGATACGGGAGGTGGTCAGAGGCTCATTTTGGCCTGTCTACTTCCTCCTTTAAGTTTACATGGGCCACCCCTCCCCCTTCCATGAAGCCTTTCCCGGCTCCCTCCTCTGGCTAGACTCAGCTTCCACCGTTTCCCCACATTATTTTGCCTCTGTCTTAGGGTATTTACTACAAGCTTTATGCTAATGTCTGTGCTTGTCTCCCCTCTGCTGGGTGGGAAGCTCATGAAAGATAGAGTCAGGTCTTCTTTCTCCCTGAATCTTCACCCCGAAGCACAGGGCCTGCAACAGGCCCAGTGCCCTTCCCTGAGCTGTGTCCTGGACCCCAGACTTCTCAGACCATGTCGCCGACCCACATCTGACTTTTCTGTGAACCAACCCATTGTGCATTCAGGTTCGACGTCTAAGATCCTCTGGCTCTGCCTCTCCTCCCCTCCACCCCAAAGACCCAGCCGGCTTGTCCCCAGATGCCATTTCACGGCTCAGTTTACTGGGCCCAGAGGAGTAGCACCTTGTCTTGGCATTAATTCCGAGGGTGACCCCGGGCTCCCTGGGCCAGGACACCCCCCTCGGAAGGTAGCAGCTACAGGGTTTCTGGAGCTGGAGAGCAGAGGGAAACAGGCCAAAGATCTGGGTTCCAGTTGTTTCTGTGATGGAGATCATCTTAAGTGCTTCTCCAAGTTGTGAAAATAATCGCAGTGGAGGCGAAAGGGCTTCGTAAACCAGAAACTGCCATAAAAATATGAGGGGCTCCCGTCACTCTTGCTGGGGTCAGTCCCATCCCCTGCACTCAGCCAGGATTTTAATCTCTCCTGGGTCCTAGGAAAGTGATGCAGGGCCGTGGGCTTGTCCGAGCCACCCTCCCGTGGGAAAGCGGCACCATTCTTGGGGCAGGTTGTGGTAGGAAGTACCAGGAGAGTCATTCCCACCCTTGCCGAGGCTTTCTGTGCTCAGTGCTCAATTTTAGGGGAAGAGGGCACAGCCTGGACTCTGCCCGTGGCCAGAGTTGGGAGCGTGGTCTCAGGGTGAAGCAGGGAGCCCAGTTCAGGCCCAGAATCAGCAGTTCACCCTCTGCTTCTCTCTCCACAGGGTGCCAAGTACCGCGGTTCCATTCGCGACTTTCCGGACTTCGATCCCAGCCAGGATGCCGAGGCTCTGTACACCGCTATGAAGGGCTTCGGTGGGTACCCGGCCACCGGGAGTGGGGCTGCAAGAAAAACAGGAGGATTCACTGGGGCTTGGGGGTGTCCCCATATGGGAGCTGGGGTCGGGGTGACATGATGAGATGCACTCACTCATTCTGTTTTGTCTCCTCTTTCTATTAGTTTTCACAGTTTTATAATGAAATATTCCAGACCCACAAAACTTCTATTATTCTAAAGAATAATAGAAATTTCACCCGCAAACCTACTACCCAACTTGAGAAATAACACTTGCTTTCTCATACAGTTGGACCCTCCTGTAACACCTCCCCTGCCTTTCCTCGTGGGTGTAACCACTACCTTGAATTTGATGCCTGTTATTATCTTTGATTTTCCTTGTTGAATGAACCAGTCCTGGGTGTTAGGACACCTGAGTTTTTCTAAGCCAGGCTCCTTATGAGACTTTGGGTGAGTCCTTGCCTCTGGGCCTCAGTTTCCTTATTTGTACAGCGGGGAACTGAATCACAGGCCCTCTGTGCTCAGATGCTGCAGGTGCTATGATCCCTCTCAGTGGGGGCTTGGCGGATCCCCACAGATCCTCCCCCCATGCCACCACCTCATGAGCAGAAGGCTGATGCCACTGACTGCAAGGAGCAGCCCTGGTGGGCTTCCTGGAGGCAGGTTGGCATAGGGCAATGGGTGCTCTCCCTTCTTCCAGGCAGCGACAAGGAGGCCATACTGGAGCTGATCACTTCCCGGAGCAACAGGCAGAGGCAGGAGATCTGCCAAAGCTATAAGTCCCTCTATGGCAAGGTAACTATGGCAACCAGAAGGCAGGGACGGGTGGATCAGGGGATGGTTTATTCACCTGTGTGTTCATTTAGGGTCTTTCCTGAGTATTTTACTCCAGGTCGGCCTCTGTGCTGGCACTTCTGCCCTATTCCCTTCAGTCAGGGGACCATTCAGCCACAAATCACCTGCAGCACCTGCTGTGTGCTGGGCACTGTGCTGGGTGTTAGGGCTGCACGGGTGAATAAGACCTATGAGAGGGTCAACCCTGTGGACTCACAGATAGTGGGGGAGACACACAGTAAACAAGTAAACAAATGATGGGGCAGAGGCAGGACACTGGGGACTTGAACCCTGCACCGCCATTTGCTAGCTTTGTGACTGGGCAAGTTACCTGACGTCTCTAAGCCTGCTTCTTAGGGTTGATGATGGCACGTACCCGTGCACATCTATCTCCAAGAGTGACGATTGAATGAGATTAGATTACTTAGGCCTGTACAGATTTAAGTGCTCATTAAACGTAAACATAATTCTTATCATTATAACTGCTCTTCCTCTCCTCCTCCATCTCCACCCCCACCCCCCAGGACCTCATTGCGGACTTGAAATACGAGCTGACGGGGAAGTTTGAACGACTGATTGTGGGTCTGATGAGGCCGCTCGCCTATTGTGATGCCAAAGAAATTAAAGATGCCATCTCGGTAAGAAGGGTGGATCTGTGTGTGTGTCGGGGGAGGGGATGTGATTGAGAGGAGGAACGTGGCCTATACGGCAAGTGTTCAGTGAGCCCCACATCCACCCAGCGATGCACCCTGTTTTCAAGAGGCAGCTTGTCCAAACCCTGTCCCAGAGGGGTGCCACAATCTCCTCAGGGAGGACAGATGTAGGACAGATGTCAGTATGAGGCAGACCCTTTGAGAGGGGACCTTGGCCCAGACCCCCACACCAGTAGCTTACAGTCCAGAGGAAGCAGAATACGGGGACGTGGAGACAAATTGTGTCCAACACCCAAAGGCTAAGGATGTAATAGAGGAGGTTAGCAGGGCAGGCCGTTGGTCCGGGGTGGCTTGAGAGGGCATCATAGAAAATGACAGGATCGAGTTGGGCCCAAAAGCCTGGGAAGAATTTGGTTGATCAGAGTGAGAAAATCGTTCCAGGATGGAGAAACAAATGGCCGGAGAGGTTGTGATGTGAGGATATCAGGAGATGAGGAGAAGCTCAGTCTGGTTGAAGCAGAGGGTCACTCCCTAGGAAGCAGGGAGAGAACAAAAACCCTCAAGGGTACCTAGCACTTTACAGTTTATAATGTGCTATGATCTTTGCTTCAGATGAGCTATTAAGCGTGAATCCATTTTATAAACCAGTAAACTCAGCAACATGAGAGATGATTACCTTTACAATCTCCCTATGAATTTGGCAGAGCAAGTAGTAGCATCTCCATTTTACAGATGGGAAAACTGAGGCCCAGAAAGATAAAGTTTCTTTTTTTTTTTTTTAACACCTACAGCACCTGGTATTCCTAGGTGGTCTCCCATCCAAGTACTAAGCAGGCCTGACCCTGCTTAACTTCCGAGATCAGACCAGATCGGTCACATTCAGGGTGGCATGGCTGTAGACTGATAAAGTTTCTTAATGAGAGGTCACAAAGCTGCAGGCAGCGGTAGGACTGGAACCCATATCTATTGATTCTCAGGGCAGCAGCTCCAGTCAGTGCCTGCAAGCTGTGATAGGAGCATCCTGAATGCTGGAGGTTTCATAGCTCAGCCACTGCAGGATCCTATCCTCTGGCTGGTGGCCTCCCATCCAGCCCTTGACTCATGTGTCCCTTCTCTTCTCCCAGGGAATTGGCACTGACGAGAAGTGCCTCATTGAAATCTTGGCTTCCCGGACCAATGAGCAGATCCACCAGCTGGTGGCAGCGTACAAAGATGGTGAGATGGGCAGGAGGGGCTATTCAGGATTTTCAGATATAAAATGAGGGTGATTGCAAGGGTGGAGACCCTAAGATCCTATTCAGCCACCTCCTTTCCTCCTTCCCTCTGATCTGTCCATCTGTCTATCTTTCCAATAAGTACCTGCTCTGTGCCGGGCAGTGTGCTGGGTTCTCAGGATATGGTGATAGACAAAACCCATGTTGTCCCTGCCTCCAAGAGCTTATAGACTAAAGAGGTAATGAAGGATACAGATAATAAACAAGTAGACACAATAATGACATGTGGTCGTGTTGTGAAAGAAACAAATGGGATAATAAGAATCAGACTTTAACTGGGGAGGACCCGCTTCAGACAGGTGGTCGGGGAAAGCCTATCTTGGAAGGAAATGAGAAGGAGCCATTTGTATAAAGGGTGGGGAGAAGATCCTTGCAGGCAGAGGGAACGGCAAGTCCAAAGGCCCTGGAGCAGAAATGGGCCTGGTAGTCAGTGTGAGGCAGGAGTGGTGGAGGGCAGGGCAAGACCAGACAGGCCCAGAGAAAGAGACGATGTTTTATTCTAAGTCCAGTAGGAAGCAGGGGAGCCCATGATCAGATGTGGGCTTTAAGTTGGTCACCCTCATTGCTGTGGATTGGAGAGAGAGTGAGCAGAAGCAGAAGGAATGGTCAGAAGGCTGTGGCCACTGTCCAGGTGAGCGATGACAGTGGTATAGGTGGGGATGGAGAGAAGCAGTTGGATCCCATCACATCGTGTCATAGGTCAGTACAAGGAACTGAAAATACACCCTGGATCTTGCCATGGCCATCACGGAGACTGGGTTTTGGGTTTTGTAACCAGTATCTGATCATTATGGGGGCATCAGGGATCGTTACCCTGGATCTCTGGGGTCTCCTGTGGATGGGACTAGAGCTCGTATTCCTTCCCTGCAGCCTACGAACGAGACCTAGAGTCTGACATCATTGGTGACACATCTGGCCACTTCCAGAAGATGCTCGTGGTCCTGCTCCAGGTTGGTCCACCTTGGGGCCCTCCCCTGCGCTCTCTGCCAGGGTGCAGGCAGAGTCTGGCTGTGGGCACCTCTCCCAGTTCCCCCAGACAGAGTGGCTTGCGAGGGACTCCTGGTGTCTCCTTGGGCGTAAAGTCCTCCTCCTGTACTGTGACCACCCCTTTCCGTCCGCCCATTTAATCCCCAAACTTGAGATGATTTCCATCTGGCGCCCCTGGGTGTGGAATCTGAGCGGCCAGGGGGTCTGTCCTGTTCCTCCTGGTTTGCAGAGGCAAGTGACCCACATTTCCGTTTGCATACATCCTTCTCTCTTGTGACCAGAAATATCCTCTCCCGTGACCTTCTTCCTCTCTCCACATGTACCGCCCCACCCCTTCCAGGCCTCCCTCCGGCCACTGAGCGTCCTTGAGCCGGGCTGCCTTCACAGTGGAACCCTGCTGCTCCTCCCTCCCACCCAAGAAGCACATAAAAAAAGAGCCCATAAAGAGGGCACACTCTGGTGTCCTTGGCCGCATTCAACCTACCAAGTTGGCGTTTTTCCTTTGTTTTCCCACACGATTAAAAAAAAAAACAACCACCACTTTGAGTTAGTTGCTAACAATTACGAGTAGGGAGCTTTTTCTCAAAAACCAGATTTCTGGATTCTTTTGAATAATTGAAAGTTCTGGCAACAGCAGGCCTGCATTTGGCATGACTGCAGTGGGCTGGAGAGCAGGTCCCGCCTGCCATTTCGCCTCCACAGGTCTGGCCTCACGGCAATCTCTGGTCACAGATGTCTCTCGCCCAGCTCCAAGGACCAAACCTTTATATATAAATTAAGCGACCTCTTTGTTTCTTTCACCTCCCCCTTCCCCGCATTTTACACCAGTTCTCTCCTTTCCATAACCATGACAATGTGCATTTTATATTAAGCAACTGGAGAATTTTCAGAAACATCAGGCGTGGGAAGGCGTGACCTTTGCCTCATTTTCAAAGAGCATATTCTGAAACGGAGAGTTCCAGCCTGTATCTTAGAGTTAAGGATGTTGCCTCCTCAACCTCTGACACTAAGTGGGCAGTGACATGGCACAGATTGTAAGCTTGCCAGCTCTGTCTTCTTGGGCTCAGTTCCAAAGAACCAGGGGGGTTGAGATCCTGAAATGCACAATCTGGGGGAAGAGGAAATAAGCATTGGTTTGACCTCTGCCCACATAACCAAGCAGCCCAAGAGGGCTGTCCCCTGACCCCTGTGAATGTCCTCGTCTGTCAGATGAGGCAGACAGTGCTGGCACACATGGGATTTGGTGCCTTTACAGCTTGGGAGCTCAGATCTGAGAGTCCGGGTCTCAAATCCTCATTGGTGAATTCTTTGGGTTAAGGTATGAGAACCTCTACTAGAACGCACATGTGCGGAATTTTTACCACTGTGATATTGTTGGGGCCCACCATGGGCCATGCCAGGACTTGTGACAAGGGCCCTGCCCTCACTGATATTCTCGGTAGGCTCTGACCTCCTCTGGGATGGGATGGTAGCACCTGGGAGGACCTTGATTATTCTCAGGACTCCCCTGTTTTGTCCCAGCTCCAAGGATGAAGGGAAAAGCCAGTGGGAGGAACTCCGATTCCCCATGAAACAGATGCTGCAGTCCTGATCCAGCAGCAGCTATAAGTCACTGCTCCTGGATGTCTCTGGGCCAACATGGTTTCCCAGCCCTCCCTGTCCCCACCACTGGCATCCAGGCCTTCCCCTTGGCTCTGGTATTTGAACCACGTGTGCCTTGTCTCTCTGCCCAGGGAACGAGGGAAGACGACGACGTAGTAAGCGAGGACTTGGTGCAACAGGATGTCCAGGTAAATAAGCTCCGATGGAGGGCCCCCAGCAAAGTAATTTGCATCAAATACCAGAAATAACAGTTACAGCATCATTTATATAGTGCTTTGTTGAAGAAAAGGTTTATGTTATCTTTCAAAGATATATAACATATTTAAAGTTGGTGAGATGTATTTTGGAGCTTTCATCATTCGTTCATTTATTTAGTTTATTAATATTTACTGATAGCTACTACGTGCCAGGCACCCTGCCACGCATTGGGGAACCAGTAATGAACAAAATCAGCAGTCCTGGGAGAGACAGCCATATGTTAATCACATGAACACCTTCTCCCAGGATGTACCATACATTCCAGGTGTTTTGAGCCCCACCGTGTGCCAGTAACATTGCAGGGGCAGATATAGAGAATGCCGACTCACAGTCCCTGGCCTGGAGGGACCCATGCCATAGTGGGGAGACAGGCATATCAAGAAATCATTGCAATATACAGTGAGTCAAAGCTATAAAGAAATATAAAGCTGTAGGAGCCTAGAAGAGAGAGGGAGGGAAGGAAACAGAACTCTGCTGGGGGCATCAGGAAGTACTTTGAAAACAAATGGGACATCTGATCTGGCACTTGAACGTTGAGTAGGAGTTTTCCCAGAAGGAAATGGGGAAAGATAAACAGTATATGAAAATGCCCCGAGGCTACTAATTACTGTTATGTTCAGGGATCCAACATTGGTTCTGAGTGGCTTGGCCCATGAGTCCTGTCTCCTGAGTTTTCCTCTTTTGGTTAATCCCCACTTCTTCCCCTTCAGGACCTGTACGAGGCAGGGGAACTGAAATGGGGAACAGATGAAGCCCAGTTCATTTACATTTTGGGAAATCGCAGCAAGCAGCATCTTCGGTTGGGTAAGCAAGCTCCAGAGAAGACCTACAGCTGCTCCCTTGCCGCTGTGCCAAGAATTCTGTTCTCTTTCCTTTTCTAATAGAGCATGATAGCTACTTCATCTGCAACCCAAACACCAGTCCTAATTTTATTAGACGGTGGTTTGTATGGTCCGTAACCAAAGCAATTAACAGGATGCTTAGCACTTCCGTCTGGTTACCAGTCCTATCTTCATGTTGGAGCATGAGGGATACACAGTTCCCTGCGGCATAAGGCAGCTTGACTGCATGGTGGCTGGTGATATGCACAACCTGCCTGCCACCCCGCAAAGTACTAGCCCTCCCTTCATATTGGCGCTCCAGTCCTGGTCACTGCATCCTCCCTTTCTGAAGTCTCTTTCGTTCTCAATACCCTGGGGACACTCCTGACATGCCTGTCTCTCTCTCTCTCTGGCTTAGTGTTTGATGAGTATCTGAAGACCACAGGGAAGCCCATCGAAGCCAGCATCCGAGGGGAGCTGTCTGGGGACTTCGAGAAGCTGATGCTGGCCGTGGGTATGTTCTGACTTTGCATTCCCACGGGCTCTGAGGGATTCTAGCCGAGGAAACATGGGCTGAGAATGGAAAAAGGGAATTCTGTGGTATGGAGATGGGAAGGTGAGAACCAGATGGGCAGTGAATTCTAAAGGTTTAGCCAGGGCAGCATGGCTGAGGCCGGCGAGGCAGGGAGTCGAGCCTCGGGCCCTGACTTCCCTCTGCTCACTCATCCGGTGTGTCTGGTAGGGTGAGAAAGAGCATGGGGCTGGGGGACGGGGTTGAGAAATAATGATTAGGAGAGTGGATTTTGTAGAGCCCGGCATACTGTGTGCCAGGCACTATGCTGAGTGTTTAATCTTTTTTTTTTTTTTTTTTTTTTTTAAGACGAGGCAACCCTTGGTTGACCTCACAGATTGCAAGGACCTTGTTTGCTTACAATTCCTTTTTTTTTTTTTTTTTTACGCCTATAGCACCTGGTCTTCCTAGGTGGTCTCCCATCCAAGTACTAACCAGGCCCCTGCTTAGCTTCCAAGATCAGATGACATAGGGCTTGTTCAGGTGGCATGGCAGTAGACTGAGTGTTTAATCTTTAAAAAGGACCCCTGCTTAGCTTCCAAGATCAGACGAGATAGGGCTTGTTCAGGGTGGCAAGGCCGTAGACTGAGTGTTTAGTCTTTAAAAAGGACTCAGGAGTGGGCACTGTTGTTACCTCCATCTCACAGAGGCGGCATCACTCGCCGAGGGGTTGTTTTATAATGAATTGGGGGTATTTTGGGCATGAGGGATGCAAGGAGCTGACTAGTCAATGGCGAAGTCAAGATTCAGACCCAGGCCTTCTCCCAAATCTGCTATTGGCTTGGAGTCACTTATCCTTGCTGGGCCTCAGTTTCCTCATCTGATAGATGGGGCAGAGGGAATGGACTGCCTGACACAGAGGCTCTTGCAAGCCAGACATTCCAAGAGTCAGCGTTCCTGAGCCTGGGCTAGGTTGTATGTGTGTGTTTCTTGGGGGAGGTCTACAGCCCAGACGTCATCTTCCCATCCAGAACTATCCCCCGCCAACCCTATTTCCCATAGTCAGGTTCTGGCCCGCTCTGCCAGCAGGATCCAGTGATTCAGGAGCCAGTACCTTTCTGGCTTAACAGAATCTAAAGGAATACCTTTCCCAGCTCTTCCCCAGAGGCTGCCTCCCACCAGACCCAGTTCCTTGTGAAACCCCAAAGGATAAGAAAGATGCAGTAGGTCTTTGTAATGCACTACTCACATTACAACAAGCCCGTTTCCTGATTTTTCCCCTGGGTTTGTGATCAAAGTCAGCCATGGTTATCAGGAGCCAGGGTTCTTCCTGGGTTTGAACTGGGTGGCCCCCAAGGAATGAAAAGAAAGAAGGGGTCCAGCCACTGTATCCCCCCTTTTAGGCAGCTAGAATAACTGCCTTTTCCTCCCTCTCCTCAGTGAAGTGTATTCGGAGCACCTCGGAGTATTTTGCTGAAAGGCTCTTCAAGGCCATGAAGGTACATGGTGGGGTTGATGCAAACGAGTTGAGGGAGGGGGTCCCTGCCTACCACTGCTGGGACTTTAGAATAAGTCCTTGGGGTCCACTGGCCAAAGAGAGCCTTCAGCGGGTTAGCCACAGAACAAAGTGCTGGCACTTGGTCCCCAATGACCTCCAGAGCCTGCTGCCCGGTCACATATCTCATATTGATCAGAGGCTGAAGTGTCAGCCTGCACCCAATCCAGCCAGCCAGATGGGTTGGAAGCCCGCACTTTTAAAAACTGTTAAGTAACCAGAATGTTTATATATAGTGTACGTTGGTAAGTAGAAAGCACTTTAGCATTGTCTGCTGAGTCCTCATGCTCATCCCGGTGACCCAGCGATTCCACTGTGGTCGTGTACCGAGAACACTGCTTCTCGCTATTTTACACACGACCTAGAAACTGATGATATTTCCATAGCACGCAAGGTAAACGAACGGAGTCATTTGTTGCCGGAGACTATATGCCCAAAGCCCCTGCATGGCCATCCTACAAGGGCAAGTGGACGGCAGCCCATACTCTGCCTTCTAATGCCAGAGTGAGAGTGAGCCGCTCAGCCCTGGAGAGATGGAGCCTGTGTGCACGTGTTCACGAGACTATTCATAGCAGTATTGTCTGAATTAGGAAAAAACTAGATACGACAGTGTCCATGAGGAGGAGCAGGGGAACTAACTGCACAGTGGCATATTTACAAAGTTCCAAAATGTGCAAACCTAAATAATATATTGCTTAGAGTTACAAAGTTAGGTAAAATTATAAGGAAAATCAAAGACACACAGGCACACACAGGGAGCCTCAAAGGGAGTGGCAAAGTTCCAATTCTTTCGCTCTTAGTTTTGATGTTTTATTACTAAAGTTGTATTTTTAACTAAGCTGGGGACTGTCAGCACCCTAGCTCTCTCTCAACTCTCTGTCCCCTAAACCCACTTGTCTCCCAGGGCCTGGGGACTCGGGACAACACCCTGATCCGCATCATGGTCTCCCGTAGCGAGCTGGACATGCTTGACATCCGGGAGATATTCCGGACCAAGTACGAAAAGTCCCTCTACAGCATGATCAAGGTGAGCGGAGCTGACAGGGGCCAGAGCAGGGCCACCACGGGAGGGAAAGAACTGTCCTAAAAAGCCAGAGTCTCTTGGGAATTCCTTGTGGCATATTCAGGGCATTTAACAGAGAAGCAAACGTCCGGCAGTGATTGCGAGACGTGAGGTACATGAGGCGCCTCTTTAGAGGAAGGCAGGGCTGGGTCCTGAACGGCACGCAAGCTGAATCCAGGATGAGGACTCCATCCCAAGGGCAGTGAGAGTTCAGTCTCCTGGAAGAAGGGTGGGGACACTGAAGAACACAAATGAGACTTAATTTGGGACCTCTTGGCCCTGGGCCAGTTGATGACCCCAGGGTGTCCAGCCCATATGACTTGGTCAAAAAACAGATGTAGAATTGGGTTTTTTCTCTTTTGCGGGGAGGATGAATGGGATAAAGCCTTCTGAGTTCAAGCCATGGTCCCCAAAGTGTGTTTCTAAAGAGGAATTTTATAGGCATTAAGTGAAAAAAGGTTCCATGGGAAAATGTTTGGAAGAAAACTAGAATAAGCCAAGATAAGCCAATTTCTTTACCTCAGAATCTGTCATAGCCGTTAATCTGTTAATCCAATACGAAGCTCCAAGAGAGATATAGAATATGCCATGTCTGTCGAATGTACATTTACCCGTTCGTTCGTAGAGCCCTGTTTTCACGGACTGTTTTCACTTGGGAGGGACAGGCTGGGGACTTGCTGGGGACAGTGGTGCGCAGGGTCTGGCTCACTGGCTCAGTAAAGCAGTGAGCATCTCTTCTTAATTCCACATTTCGTAAAGTCGTATCGGTAGCTTGGAATTGTCCATCAGAAGTATTTATACCGCGGAAATTGGCAAATTGACAAATGCTACAAATCAGGGCTTTTTTTCCTTTTCTTCTTTTTTCTTCCCCCGCAGAGAGCTAATTGTTAGACTCTTACCAGCACACTCCCGTTTGTTGGTCTCAGCCACCTGCAGACAGGAAGAGAGTCAGGGCTGCCATGAATAAGTGTTTGGCCTTTCCTATGTGGGGCCCTCCTGAACCTTCCCTCCTTGTCTGAGAAGACCCCAGGGTTGGGTAAGAGGTAACCTTTCTTTCTTTCTCCCCAGAATGACACCTCAGGCGAGTACAAGAAGGCTCTGCTGAAGCTGTGTGGGGGAGATGATGAGTAAGTGGCTTCTTGGCCTTGGGGGGTGGCAGGCCAGAACTCTCCTGGTTCTCATCCTGATGGATGGATGGATTGGATGAGCTTGGGGATTCCTTGGAGCCAGAAGTCCCATGCAGGTGAAAGTCTGAGTGAGTGTGTGAACGTGATCGTGGTCTCCTGTACATGGAGACGTCTGCTGTTGTGAACTTGAGAAGTCAGTCTGGGGTTGCGGACCAGGAATCAGAATATGAGGGGCCAGGCCCTGCTACTTCATAGGGGCGTCTCAGTTTCATCATCTGTTCCAAGGAAAAGGTACAGATACCTGCACTCCCTACTCATTTATTCAGCATGTTCGTAGGGAAGCACTTGATGATGCTTGCAGCCTAGAGAGGCATACAGACCAGGCGTACACACAGGCAGTCCTGTGATGGGGGAGACGCACGTGCCTGTGAAAGCACATGTAGGCTCACAGCCACACTGGGGAGGCTCCTGGAGATAACGAGGCTGAGACCCAAGTAGGAAGGGAACGGGGAAGAAGGGGTGAAGACAGGATCTGGAAGAAAATGTTTGGGTAGAAGAAAGGCCTAGAAATGAGAGGACACCGCCTGGTTCATTTTTATTACCAAGGTTGCACTTTTATAGAGTGCTAGAAACAGAGATGAGGCCGAGAGGGGACCAGGGGCTGGGGGCCTCTTTCTGGCTTATGAACCTCGCCTCAGGGTAGCGGGGAGCCATTGAAGAGATGAGGTTGGTGCACGACTTGACCAGATTCGTGTGCTAGGAAGGGAACTATAGGTACTGAGATTTCCCTTCTCTGGGGCTTATAAGGATCCAGTTAAGCGCTGCTAGACCTGTCACCCTTCGGTAAATGCCGCAGGGGCTGATTCG